GGGGCTCTGGAGGGAGGAGGGCCTGGCTATAATTGAGGGGCGTTTACTTCTCGGAACCTCGGTTTCCTCATCTGAGGTAGACCCTGCTAGGCGCATGCCCGATACACACGTGCCCTCCTCCCTGCACACGGGGCCCCAGTGCTGTGTGAGTAGCACCATGCCCAGGCCCCAGGGCAGGTACAGGTACCTGTTCCCGCAGCCTCCTGAGCAGCAAGGGTGGCCCAGGGACCTAAGTCTGGCCTGGGAACTGCAGGGAAGGCTGCCTGAGAGCCTGGTAAAGTTGCTGCTTCCCTGAGGCAAGGCCAATGCCCAGCTGATGCTGCTCTTCCTCACCTTCCTCCATCACAATGCACAGGCTACCCAGAGGTGCAGAGCCACCTGTGACCAGGCAGAGGCAATCACAGGACCCCTGGTGGCAGGTGCTACAGAACTGACCAGGGCAGCTGCCCACCTCTGGATGTCCTGTCTAGTGTCAGAAATCCTGTCCCCTCCTGTAAGCTCAGCCTGGGGACCCTCCCAGTCAGAACCTGGCTGCATGCTGTGGGGAACCCAACCACCCAGCAGGCCCTGGGCAGGCTGTGAGCACTGCCAGTCCCAGCTGAGCCCCCGGGTGACAGATTACTCAGAATGTCCAGACGCCACAGCTCTCGAATGACCAGGCTCAGCAGCCAAGGGCAACCCTTGTCCCCAAGTGAGAACGACTCACAGAGCCCAGCTGCCCTAAGAGTGGTGAGACTCAACTGTTGTGCATATGTGTAAGCTAGCTGTCTTCTTGTCCTGAAAACGCTGCTGGCTGAATCTGTTGTGTGCAGATGGAAGCACTCCTAACTCTCAGGGACACCATGGACCTTCAGCAAGGATTCCATGAGGTGATGCACCGAGAGTCCCTTCTTGTGGGTGTGCCCGGTACTCAACAAGTAACTAGATCTGCCCCTATTTACAAAGGCCTCTATAGGGTCAGCAGGTGGCACAGTGGTTGACCACAATTTAAGTTGTGGACTCAGTAACTTGAAACTCATACGGGATGTGTGTGTGCACATGCCCAAAGTCCAAGAGGAAAATGGAGAAGGGATTGCAGCAGGGCTATCCACCCACGGGGTGATTCTCACTTTCTGTCTCTCTCTGAAAGTGCATGTGCCCTATGGCAAAAAATCTCTTGAAAAAAACCCAAAGGTCTCTTTCTGGACTTGAACTGTGTCCCCATAAAAGCTATGTGATGTTCCCCCACCTGTGAAGGTGACCTTGTTTGGAAACAAGGTCTTTGCAAACTTAACAAGAAGTCATCATGGTGGACCCTAACTCAAAATGACTGTGTCCTTGTAAAAGGGGCAGACACGTACAGAGGACTATGTGAAGACAGGCACAGGGAGGCAGCCGTGTGATGACGGTGGCAGGGCCTAGAGTGATGCTGCCTAAAGCCTGGGTTACCAGCTGGAAGATGCAAGGAAGAGTCCTCCCCAAGGGCCTTTGGAAGAAGCATGGCTCTCCCAACACCCCAATCTCGAATTCTGGCCTCCAGAACAGGAGAGACTCGATTCCCATTGTTTCTGACATCTCACTTTGTGGCAGCGCGTTACAGCAGCAACCACTCCCATCCCATCTGCATTGATAGGTCTCCCAACCGTTCCTGTTGCACCCAGTCATGTTTCCAACGTGGAAAGACTTCAATCTGGTGAACACTGTAACTACAGCTGGATGAAGGCTCTAGGAGAAGGTGAGGAGCCCAAGCTCACGAAGGCCACCCCCATCACCAGATGCTCCCTCAGGCCCAGGGGCCCGAGTTCCTGTCGAAGGTCAGCGGCAGGAAGGACAGAGTGCCCCGGGCCCCTCCCTGCCCAGGACTCACAAAGCCGTTGCCCATGATGCGGTAAAGGCCTTTCAGGGACTCTAGGTCCTTGTTGGTGAAGTGGAACTGGACCATCCTCGAGTTCCGAAACAAAGGGCCCAGGGTGGTCTGGGGGAGACAGAGGAGTGAGCCAGAGTGTTGTGAGACCAGAGGCGGGAGAGGCAGGGAAGGGGAGGGGAAGAACGGTCCTCCCAGCCCAAACGCACCAGCAGCTGCTGTGGGATGAGCTGCATGATCAGCTTCTGGGGCCACTGCTCAGTCTTCCTGGGGGCAAGGCATGGAGGGGCGTCAGAAAGAGTGAGATCTATAGCCCTACCCGGCCCCACCCTACCTCACCAGGTCACCTACAGGTTCTCTCCGTGATTCACGTAGACCTGGCAGGGCAGTGACCGTGTCAGCTTGGTGTTGGCGTCCACTGAGGCAGGTTTGGGTTTCTGATGGGGGAGGAGAAGGGTGTCATAATAAGAAAGGCCCCTACCTCCCCCCTTTCCTGCCCTATCCTGATAGCCCCAAAGCTCAGAGTTTTCCCCAGTTTAAGTTCCTGACCACCAATCCCATACTTCTCTAGTCACCAAATCTCACAAATGTTGCCTGCCCCGTCCCTAAGTGCCATAGTCCCCTAGGCCCAGAGCCTAGGTTACTCTGAGCCCTTCCCTGCAGTACAGTGCAGCACCCTCCCCAGTCCTGACCTCTGGCTCCTCAGACCCTTCTTTGGACTCCAAGTCCCAAACCCTGTGGTGCCCTTAGCTAAGCTTAGCTCTTAGTCCACATGCCTGATAGACCCTCACGCCCACTCACCTCCTGCCACTCAAGGACACCACTCCAGGCCAGGAGTTTGTTGGAGACTGACTGCTGCCCACCGAGAGCTGGTGCCCCTAGCTGGGCTGGGGAAGGGCCACTCACTCCTCCTGGGGCCACCGTGCCTGCCTGTAACAGGAAGGGAGAGCAGTGGGGGTTAGGGGGTCAGGCCACCTCCTGGGAAGGGTCATCCAACAAAAAGGACAGACCAGGCAAGAATGGGACAAAGGTCCCTTCTATGCACGGACAGCATGTGGCCAGCCCCAGAACTGAAGTGTTCTGTTTGCAAGACTCAAAGATTCTCAGCCCCAGATGCCTCAAACTCCCAAACCTGCAATCCCAGTATCCCCTGAGCTCCTCAGAACATCTCTGACCACCTGGAAACACAGCCTCACGGTTCTCAGAACTACTATCTCAGGGTCACCAGCAGTACAAACCCATGAGCCCCCAGAACACAGATCCCTGCCCTTCCCTGGGGAGGCAAGTCCCCCAACCTTTCACTGCCACAGCACTGGGAAGCCAGGAAGGCTTGAGGTGGGAGGGAGTAGGCACCTACCATGGATGGCGCCCCCGGCTGTGCAGGGGGGGCCAGGCCTGGGCCCGGGGCCACAGTGGAGACCAGGCTGGGCTGGGAAGCAGGAGGTGGCTTAGGAGCACCAGGAGGGCCTGGGGGCAGTGGGGGGGCTGGGGCCTGGCTGAAGGGAGGACCCACTCCTGGAGCAGCTTGCTGTAGAGGGTTGATGGGTGAGACTGCAAGAGAGACCAAGGGAGAAGTAGGGGCCAGGTGCGTGGTCAGAGGCCCTCCCGTGCTGCCCCGCCCACATCCTCCTAAGACTCACAGCGTGGGCCTAGCCCTGCCTTCTGGTTCTTGGCAGCCTCCACTGCATTCTGGGCGGCCACTTGAGCTGCGCTCAGGTTCCCAGGGACCTGGGAGTGGGGGTGGGGTGAAGACCAGGTGTCCCTAGTCCCAATTCCCCTCAGAGAATTCCACCCATGGCCCACAAGGCACAACTGCCCAGCTCCAATGTTTTCCTGTTACCCTGCAGAGGTGACTCCATAGCCAAGAGTCTCACTCTCTGATGCCCCAAGGGGGACCACGTCACCCCAGAAGCCCATCCTAACAGCTCTCAGGAGGTCAGGCTCCTGTGAAACCCCTTCTTGGAGACGTCCATACCTGGTACTGGGGGGGAACGGGGGGCAGCGGCTGCTGGGAAGCTGCAGAGAGTGTGGCACCCGAGGTTGGAGCAGAAGGCAGGGACACAGGCTGCTTGGGCTGAAGGGGGCCTGGGGCCGAGCCACCCCCGACTAAGAGCCAGGATAGAGGAGGGTTGGAGAAAGAGAAGGAATGCCAAAATCCAAGTCAGAGGGAGCCAGGAGCCTCCCCCGAGACCCTGCCCCGCCAGCAGCAGCCTCACCAGGCAGCACGAGCCCCCGCACCAGCACCATGTGTCTCGGGTCCTGGCTCACGTCTGCTGGTGGCTGCAGTGGTTCCAACATGGCTGGGGGTGCCGCCTTCTCAAACAGAAGCCTCAGGGCAGGCAGCTTCCGAGGAGACACGATGGAGAAGTGGATGCCCCGCTGCAGCAGAGGGAACAGTGGTCAGGATGGGGCCCCCTGCATAGGGCCATCAGGGATGGCCTCCAGGACCCCATACCTGCTATGAGGCTAGATAGCCTGGGTCCCTACAACCACAATCCCCATCAGTCTCTGGGAGAAGGGACCATGAGACCCAGGACTGGCTGCCCGAGGCACTGTGGGTTATAGTTTTATCAATGAGAATAAGCAGAGCTGGCCACAGAGACCATTGCTGTTCTGTGACCCAGGATCCTCACCTCTCCGATTTTCTGCACGAGACTCTCAGTCGTGCACCCAGAGTACGTGGTGCTCTCAACAGCAGGCAACAGGTATGGGGGCGAGTTGCAGATGAGGAGGCAGACTCGGTGGGTCTGGCCACTGCCAAAAACAAGAAGAGACATGAAGCAGGCACCAACGGAGGTCCTAAGCGGGACCCAGACCCTGCACCAGCAAGTCCTGACCTGCCCCACTGGAAGTCAGGAGGAACGTCCGCCTTACAAATGAGAACACTGAGGCTCTGAGAGGTCACTGAGGCTCTGAGAGGTCCCATGTTCACTAAGCCACCAACAGAGAGACCCAAGCCTGGTACCTCTCCCGAGGAAGGACATTGATACCATGCACTGGCTCAGTCTGGCCTGAGAACACATCTCCAGTGCCTGGTACACAGAGGTCACGCCACCACCACCACCACCCCCCCCCGGTTTTAGATGAAAGAGGAATCACACGATGGGGAATCATGTGACAGAGGAGTCACATGACAGGCAAAGTGGGTTTCAGGCCAGGTGGAAAGAGACTGACTCAGCTTATGCACAGGGCATACTCACATCTGCTCCCTCATCTTCTTGAAGTCGTCGAACAGCTGCAGGGCCGTGCTGAGGCCTTCTGCGATGAGGCTGCAGCTCTCGCCACCCCCTCCCATGAACCTGTAGAGGCAGGCAGTCAGCCCCACCAGTTCTGCACACCTGTTTCTGTCTGAGTCCAGGCTGGACCACGTGCCTCAGACTGTGGGACACTACTGAGCTCCCTGCTCTGCCACTAGTGCTGGCATGGTACCAGGCCCAGACAGTAAGGCAGGGGACACCTGTCGTTTTAATCATGAGGCCTGGGACAGAAAGCCTCAGACCAAGGAAGGGGCCCAGGACACACACCCAAGCCTGGGCCTCTAGGTGTGTGCCAATCCTACTGTAACCAACTCCTTGTGTACCTTCACAGTCCATTCCCTGAGACGCCTGTTCCACCTTAAAATCAGCCCCACCTCACCTTCCCAGCCAGGGTGTCACCTCCTCTGCCCTCCTGCAGCGCTATGGGTTGAAATGTACACCCCCACCAACCTCATGTAAAAGGCAGGTTGAGGGGACCGGCAGGTGGTGTGGAGGTTAGAGTGGCTGGATCCCACATGACTGACCACACAGTTCCAAGTCTGGTCCTAGCAGCTTGAAAAACAGATTGGGCATGTGCATGAGTCACCAAGATCCTGAGAGGAGAACGGAAAAGGGACTACAGTACGGTCACCCTCCCTGGGAAATGGGACGGTGATTTCTCACTTTCTCTCACACCTTAACTACAAATAAAGCCCTTGGTGTGGTAAACACCACTTGAACTGAATGGTCTCAGGTGATACAGGTGGGCTGACTTGCAATGCTTCCATGTCCTCTCATTACTCCCCCAGGTCACACCTATGGGTCTTCACTGGCCTTGTCCATGGACTCACATGTACCTAGAGGCCCAGGAGGTGCTGGTCAAAATGAATGTTAACACCAGCCAGCCTTGATCCCCGGTTTCCTGTGTGTCACACCTCCCGCCCAGCCTGTCACCTATGCCAGGTCAGGCCCTCTCCTGTTTCCTGCCCAGTGACTCCTCAGTACCTAGGGGTGTCTGTTCCAGAAACATCTGTCAAATGAATTAACAGTGAAAGAACCAGGCAGTTGTCATGATGCTATGGAGATGACATTTGGGTCTATTTTCTTTCTATAGCTCCTCTTTCTGACTCTAGGTCACAAGCAGTATGCGAAGGGAAAATGCCCACCCTCACCTTGTAAGAAAGGAAATGAAAGGAGGCCAGCAGTTAGCGTAATGGCTACATCGCTGGACTCCAATGTAGTCGACCGCGGTTCAAGTCCCGGACCTGGTGGCTTAAACTCATGCCGGGCACGTGTGTGTGCGTGCCCAATATCCCAAGAGGAGAATGGATTGTGGTGTGGCCCTCCCCTGTGGGGGGTGATGGGTGATTTCTCACTTTCTGTCTCTGTCTCTCTCTGGCGAGTGCACACACCCTATAGCAAAAACCTCTCCAAAAAAAAAAAAAAAAAGGAAATGAATGCAAGGTTCAAAGGAATCTTCTCAAAGCAGGGACATTTTTAAAAATAAATCACACTGCCTGGCTCTTTTCTGAAGTAACTGACATCCTACTGGGAGGAGATAAGATTTCTCCAAGTGGGGTTGGGAGGTCACGTGGTGGTAAGGGCACTGGACTCCCATATAGACCTGGCAGCTTTCTTTCTCACTTTCTCTATTACTCTGTCCCTCTCTGCCTCTCTGGTTAAATTACAATAAATAAATAAATAAAGTTAAATAATATTTTTTTTAAAGAATGATTTAACTTTATTTATGTATTCATTTAAATTTGACCAGAGAGGGAAAGAAAGCCAGGAGAGAGTGAGAAACCAAGCCACCAGGACCGGGACTCGAACCATGGTTGGCCAAATGGGAGTCCAACACCCTTAACCACCATGCCACCTGCTGGTCCCAAGTAAAATAATTCTTAAAAAAAAAAAATTTCTCCAGGTGTTGCGGCTGGCAGGTAGCATAGTGGTTAAGGGCACTAACCCCACATGGTCGACCACAGTTCAAGTCCCAGACCTGGTTGCTTGCTTTCTCACTTTCTCTTTCGCTCACTCTCTCTCACTCTGTCCCTCTCTGGTCAAATTAGAACCTAGCTTGGCTTTGTGGGAGTGTCCAGCGCCTTAACCACCATGCCACCTGCTGGTCCCTAAAAATAGTAATTCTTAAAAAAAGTATTTCTCCAAGTGTGAACAAACCTTGCAGACTTTTTTTTTTTTTGCTATAGAGGTTTTTGCTATAGGGCGCATGCGCTCGCCAGACAGACAGAGAGAGACAGAGAGACAGAAAGCAGAAATCACCCCCCAGGGGGGATGGCCACACTGCAATCCCTACAGTGGGAATCCAGCAACATAGCCATTACACTAACTGCTGGTCCCAAACCTTGCAGACTTTTTTGATCTGGTTACAGACCCTATCTGGAAGTCACAGACACAGAATTCAAATGGTTACACTGAAATTGACAGAACAATGGCTACTCTGAATGTTAAATGGCTTCAAAAGCTTATCAGCTGACTGGGAAGATTCTACCAGGAGGAAACAAAGGATTGTATTTGGAGGCACAATGTGTTCTGAATGAAGGGGGAGGGGGTGGATGTGTGATTAAGATGCTCAGAAAGCTCCTTCCTCTCATCCTCCAGCTCATCAGTCCCTCTTATCACTCTCAAGCCCTCAAAGTTTCCTAATAAGGGAGTTTGACTGTTTTTCCTGACACCAAAAACACTCACTGGAAGGTTCAATTTCTTGGTGATTATCTTCCTTGTAGCTTTCACTCAGTGATTTATTCGGGGCTGTGTCTGTGCCAGGCCCCAGCTGGAAGCAAAGGACAGGAAAAAAGTCCAGGGACCTGGATGTGCACGGCCTAGAGGTATGGGGCTACAACAGGAAAGCATAGAAAGGTCACTGGGGGAGAGGACAGAGCAACTTAGCTGTTTGCAAGAATCAGTAAAGCTGTCCTAGGGGAAAAGACATTTGTGTCGAGGTCTTGAAGGTTATACACAAGTTAACTGGGGGAAGCCAGTAGGAAGTACCTTCTAAATAATTGCTCATAAACTCACTCAATCAGTGACACTTTCCTTTGGTTTCCTTTGTACCAGATCCTGTGCTGGGCCTAAGGGTTTGAGAGGTGTCAGGTTTGGACGTGGGCCTCAAGGAGCCCCCATTCTATGTTATTCAAGTCCCTGCACAAACAATCCTAGAGATGCTCAACTAGGTAAATTTTGTCCCCCGAAGGACTTTTGATAATGCCTGGAAACATTTTCAGTTGTCCCAACACTGAAGGGTGGCAGGGTGCTACTGGCATCTAGAAAGTAGAGGCCAGGGTGCTAATTATCCTACAACCCCCAAGACAGCCCCTACGTGAGGAGCTACTGCATTCCAAGTGTCATCAGCGCCAAAGACGAGAAACCTGCCCCTGACAGGCACTAACCCTAATGAATGTGAAGAGGAATTTAGTTTGTCACCTTCCTCCTATGTGTTCTGCATGCTGCACAGCACAGGCAGCTGAACAAAGCAGGCATTTGGGAAACGTGTCTGGCTGCAGAAATGTAGACAACACAGCAGCTACAGGCCAGTGTCATTTAATCAATTCTGACCACAGCATGCACAGCTCCTTGATGTACTACCATGACCACTGCAAAGCAGGAAGCTGAGACACACTGACAACACACACACACACAACGTAATATGTGCTGGGTACGGTTTTAAATACAGTCATCAACTTATTTAAATCCTTGAAACATTGAAGGCTGGCCAGCCTCATGGTTAAGGGAAGCCAGATCCCATGTGGGTGACTGCAGTTCAAATCCCAGTCCTGGCGGCTTGAAAAACCCTATCGGTGTTTGTGTGTGTCCAAAGTCCAGACAGGATGGAAAAATAGAGAAGGGATTACAGCATGACCATGCCCCACTGGAGGGTGTTTTCTCCCTCCCCGCTCTACCTGCTCAATTCACACACCATCTAAGAACCTAAGGGGGAAAAAAAAAAAAGGACAATAAACTTCCCTATGAGGTCATGGTTGCCAGACCAAGATGGCTATAATGATCTCACCTCCTGGTATTTCCCTTGTTTGGTCCCCTCCCACACCAAAACAGGACAGACTTATACACCAAACAGAACATGGCAGAAGTGAGCGTGTGTGACTTCCAAGACCTGATCATGAAAAGCCTGGTGGTTTCCTTTGGTCTCTACTGAATCGCTCAGTAAGGAAAGCTGGTTGCCATGTTAGGGCAGTAAAGTAGCCCCGCAGAGGCCCTGTGGCTGACAGCCAGCAAGGAACCAAGGCCTCCTGCCAAGGGCCATTGAGCAGCCACCTTGGGAGCAGATCCTCTAGCCTGTCAAATGCTTGGATGACTGGGGCCCCAGCCAAAACCTGGACTGCAATCTCACAAGAGACCCTGAGTTGAGCCACTCCTGAACTCCTAGCTCACATAAACCATGTAGGATAGGATAGTAAGCTTATAGTTTATTCTACTTCTAATTTTGCCATAGGGTGTGTATGCTTGCTGGAGGAACAAAGAGAGGGAGAAAGAATGAACTTCCCAGGGGAATGGCTGTGCAGCAATCCCTTCTCCTCTCAGGATTTTCAGCATGCATGCATGTGTCCAGCATGTTTCTCAAGCAGCCAGGTATAAGCCTAGAACTGGGCAGTCAGCCATGTGGGGATCCAGCCACCTTAGCCACCACGCCACTGGTTGGCTGTAAAAGTCTCCAAATTTTTGGTTTGTTTTGCTATAGGGGTGTGAGTGCTTGCCAGGGAGAAGACAGATAAATAGAGGGAAAGGGAGAAATCACCCCCAAGGGAGATGGCCATGTTGCAATCCCCTCTCCTCTAGTCTCCTCTTGGGATTCTGGACATGCACACACATGTGCCCCATGTGATTTTTAAGCTGCCTGGTCTGAGATTTGAACTACACAGTGGGCCTTGTGGGATCTAGTGTTTTTATCTCCTTATCACTGGCTGATCCAGAAGTCTATAGTTTGGTGAATTGTGGTTTTTTGGGTTTTTGTTTTGGTTTTTTTTAGGTTTTGGCCATAAAGTAGCATGTGCTCACCAGTGAGACAGAGAAAAGGAAAGAAAGAAATCACTCCCTACGGAACGGCCATGCCGTAGTCCCTTCACTTCAATTCTCCTCCTTATGCATGTACACACACGCCTGGCATTATTTTCAAGCTGTTGGGTCCAGTACTTGAACAGTGGTTGGCCAGTGGGAATCCAGTGCCTTAACCACCATGTCAAGTCTATAACTTAAAACAATTAATTTCGGAGGTAACCTATTATGCAGCAATAGATAAGCAACATGCTAAAATAAAATAAAACCTGATATAATGGCCAGCGCAGTGACACAGCAGTAACAAAATGTCCCATGATGCTGAGGCCAAATAGGAAGGTCTCAGGTTTCCTTCAGAAAGTCTCCCTGCACACACCAAGCACATGTGCACCCATGATCCTGCCTGGTTGAGACTGGGAATGAATCACAACATGAAGTTCCTGATGGGGGTAACACCTCTCTTCTTGTAAGATAAAAGTTTTTGTAAAAAAGAAAGAAAATACAAGTTCTACTAACATCCCTTAATAGAGAAGAATTCTATTAAGCATAAAGGGGCAGGGACTCATGGATCTGAGGGTGGTCATGATTAGCTGTGATCTGACACCAGGCTGCCTGACTCCAGTCACAGTGTGAACCATCAAAATTTTATTCCAAACACAAAGGGAGCTCTCCTCGCCCACACACCATGTCCCTGCACTCAGGCTTCAATGAACCAGCTGAAAAAGAAGGACTGGGGCTGGGCAGGTGGTATGGTGGTTAAGGGCACTGGACTCCCATGTAGCCAACCACAGTTTTGAGTCCCAAACCTCACGGCTTGCTTTCTCACTTTCCCTCTCTCCCTCTGTCACTCTCACTCTAGTCAAATAATAAATAAATAAATAAAAACTTCAAAAGATAAAATTGCCTGGGGCCGGCAGGTAATGTGGCGGTTAAGGGCACTGGATTCCCACATGGCCAACTGTGGTTCAAAACCTGGTTCTAGCAGCTTGCTTTCTCATCCCCCCTATTCTGTCCCTCTCTGGTAAAATTAAAATAAATAAAGTTTAATAAGAATTATTTATTTATTTAATTTAATTTGCTATTGTTAGTTTTTTTGATTTGACCACCAGAGAGAGAGAAAGAAAGGGAAAGCGAGAAAGCAAGCCACCAGCTCCAGGACTTGAACCATGGTTGGCCATGTAGGAATCCAGCACCCTTATCCACCACACCACCTGCTGGCCCCAGTAAAATAATTCTTTAAATAAAAGTTTGCCTTGAGTAGATGGGCAAAGTAGATGGACTACCAGGTGGCAGTTGAAGCTCCTCCTGGCCTCTCTGCCAAGGAAGGTTCTCCTGCTTCTAATCTGGATAGTATTATCACAGAGCACACAGATGCACCATACAAATCACAGATGAAAATGTGATTATCCTCGTAGGCCCCTCAGCCAATGAAGGACTGGCTCTTGCAATGCAAATCCAAGTCATCATTCATGTGTATCTTTCTCAAGATCCGCCAACCCATCCCAAATGGGAAAAAATGCTCACTTAATGCCATCGAGCCAGGTGACAAATTCATAGGCGCTGCTGGTGGGAGCATGACACTGTACATAGGACTCAGGAGCACAGTCCACTGTGTTGAACACCACGAGGCTGTACTGGGTTCCGCCATACTGGGGAGGACAGATAAAGTTTTATTCTCGGACCCCCATTTTCCTTTTCTTTCAGAGAAGAAATTGGGATTCCCGGCTTCTCATTACTTAAGAACAAGAAATCTTTCCACGAAGGCCCTCCTCTCTCTAAGTCTGCACCCCAGCCCCTCTTCCCTTGGACTTAGGGGTCCAGGCTTTCAGCTCCTCCTCCCCAGAACCCTGGAGTTCAGCTCTAGCCCTCTTCTCCCTCAGACTCAAGAGCCAAGAGTCCTGGCTCCCAGACCCTCCTCTCTCAACTAGGGAGTCCAGGTTCAGCTCCTCAGCCCTCAGACCAGGGAGTCCAGGTTCAGCCCCTCCCACCTCCCACCCGAGGTCCAGGCCCCCAGCCCTTGGCCCCACCTCACACCTGGGGCCCAGGCCCCCAGTCCCACCTCACACCCGGGGCCCAGGCCCCCAGCCCTCCGCCCCACCTCTCACCCGGGGCCAGGCCCCCAGCCCCACCCCAGCCCCGGGGCCTTGGCCCCCCAGCCCCCGCCCCACCTCA